TTACCCACTAACTGTTTGAACAATAGTTAACTCATGAATTTAGCAATAATAACTGATCATTAGTAATTGTTTTATTTTATATCATTTCAGTATGTATTTTTACAAAAATCTGTCAGTCTGTTGTAAGCAATTATTAGAGTAAATAGTAAAATTAGAAATAATTAGCTGAAAACTCACTCACAGATTCACTGCAACCATTAAAGAAGTGCTGGGAGACACATCCACTTGTGCTCATCCACAGGTCTCAGGACACGCCACCACCAGTTTCTCAAACTTGTTTGCTTTCTCAATTTCTAAAAGAACCAACTGGTGAGTTGAGCCTTCTTCGGGTTTGTGACATTCTGCAAGGTACTTCCTGACCTTGTTGGTGGTCTGGAAGAAAACCTTCTGGAAGGCTCTGTGAAAGCTGAGGATTCTTGGAAGCTGGTGTTGCCCTGCAGGTTTCTGAGCCACAGTGACTGCCCTGTTCAAGAATCCCATTCAAACAGCAGGGCATGAACTCAGAGGACAGCAGAAGGTTCTACCTTGCACAGAACAACTGAGAACTTACACTTGTTCCAGAAGAATCTTGATTAATGGATGAATTGATAAGCAGTAGATTATTAAGGGAAACGAGAGAAGTTCCAAGTGTATCTCTTGCCTTTCAGGATGCAAACACTGGACTCTCCCTCATGTCCTCCCTTGGGACTGTGGTCAAAATTCTGGGCTTGTAGCCTTTGGTTGGATCTGTGGTGACATTTCTGGTCTTCTTGAGAATACTGTACCAGAAGAGGTCATGCCAGAACACCCAGAAGTGCAGGAGAGCTGTCTCCGGGGGCAGAGAACACAGCCCACATGTCCAGCATGTCACACCAAGCGTGCCACCACCTGCTAAGTCCAGGTTTTTGGCATGGGTCATGGTAATGATGCTAATGCCCCCAGTGGCAGTGATAACCACATTGATTTCCTTTGATTCATTCAATAGAGACAATTTCATCAAAGTGGTCAATTTCCAGATAGGAGGTCCATAAAAGTACCCATGACCCCAAGCATGAGACAGTTTCTAGATTTTCTGGCTTTGGCCAATCCCTTCACACCTCCAACTCTATAGTGAATGTTAAAATTTTTAAAAATGTATTACAGTACCTGGCACACTGCCATTAATCCTCTTCAAATTACTCACCCCCACTTCAAACACACTTATCCCATTGCTTTTGCAACTCTCTGAAGCAGCTCTGGAGTCCTCTTTCCTGAGTGTCTTTACTTGCACTGTTGTGGCTGCCTCAATGTCCTGAATCAATTTAAAATGTTGACCTTTTATGGTCATATTGACTTTGAGGAAGAACCATAAGTCATCTGGTGCCAGATCCAGAGAATGAGGGCACATCCTGATAAAAATTGCTATAAATTTTTTGAATCAGTTCGGGACATGACATCAAGGCAGCCACAACAATAGTACACCTAACAGCACAACTAAAGACACTCATGAAAGAGGACTTCTAGAACTGCTTCAGAACGTTACAAGAATGATGGGATAAATGTGTTTGAAGCTAGGGGAATCATCTGAGGGGGATTCATGGCAATGTGTTTCTCATTGTGATAATTAAAAAATTTTTAAATATTCGTGGTATTTCCTGATCATATCATACATGTGCCGTTAGAGAGCTTCCAAGGGCATAAGGCTCTGTAACCCATTATAACCTCCCCAGCAGAAGGGATGGTATAGGTTCAAAGTGCAGGGTCATTGTTACCCTCCTCCATGCCTTCTCCCACTCCTGTTTTCCTCCCTCCCCCGCCCCTTTCTTTTTGCTCCCCAGCTCTGCTAGGCTCTCTTCCTGTGGACACAACCCTGAAGGACTTCCTGGGTGTCTATCAGGTGGGACGGCATCTCAGGGAAGGAGAGTTGGGGCTTCCCCTTTCCTGCTAGCTCGTGCTGGGTCAAAGCCCACAGCCTCCTGTCAGTAAATGGCGAATCTAGCACTGTCGGGTAAGAAGAGAGGGGCTTTTGGGTCTCTCAGTTTCCTGTCCCTTAGAGTCATCCTTCTGAACGAACAGCCTGATTCAGTGCCGGAAACTCCAAGCTTCAGGGCTGGTGCAATACAGGGCGGATTTCGGACAGGAAGCGGTGTGGGGCTGTGGGTGAGAGGGGAGGGCTTCCTCCCACCCTGCCACTTTCTATGCTAAGGGACCCTTCACAGGGCCGCCCTCCCGCCAGGGCAGACAGACATGGATGACACTCTGAGGCTTCAGCCAAAGGCCTGTGGAGCAGCAGAGCGACTCCAAGCCAGACAAATCCAGCCCTCAGTGACCTGTCCGTGTCCCTCATCCCTCCTGGCCAAATAGAATTGTCTCTTGGGTTTATATAGAATTTTTACCTATTCAGAGTAGAGACAGCTCAGTGAGCCTTTGGTTTTCAGAACTCCTGTCCCTTCTTCAGTGACCTTGAAGGGCCCTTGACTCCCAGCAGCCTGGGCCACCCTCCCACTGTACTACTTTACTGTTGGAGTGGAGGCAGTTTGGCCTTGCTGAACTTCAAGCCCAACCTAAATGAAAACACAACAGCCAGGAAGAAAGTCCCCAGCTAATTTGAATAATTTTTTGGCACTGCAGGTAGAACTCAGGGCCTGAACATGCTAGGCAAGCAGTCTAACCCTGAGCTATACCCCCGGCCCTTCTTTAAAACTTTATTTTGATGGGCTAGGGATTTAGCTCAGTGGTTCCACCACCTGCCATGCAAGCTCAAGGTCCTGAGTTCGATCCCAGGTACCAAAAAACACCCCCAAAACAAAACTTTGAGACAATTTTCAATAAATTGCCCAGACTGGGCTCAAAATTGCAATGCTCTGGCCTCTGCCTCCAGAGTAGCTGGGATCACAGGCATGTACCACCAAGCCCAGCTTTGAATGAAGTTCTTGGTAACAGGTAAAGCAATTTGCATATCAGAATTGCTAAGTGGGTGGTTCTGGGGAATATTCAGCAGACAGCTGACAGGACTCATAGATTATCTTGGAGACTGATGATTAAGGCGGTCTCTCAGCAGCTGGATGCTGCACCCTGTATGAAATGGGTGAAAACAGATGCCTGTTTGAAGGTAAAACACTGAGGCCAGGAGAAGGGCAGACACACGGTGAGGTGCTCTCCCAGAAATGCTCCGTGGTCTGGACTTAGAAGGTGGACATCAGGAAGAGGTGGGGAGGGGCAGATGGGTCCCAGACAAGGCTAGTGACCAAGGCTGCAAGGAGAGGTGCCCCTTTACCCTGACAAGAAGCAGGAGGTAAAGAGGAAGACCCACCCAAGCCAGTGTCACAGGCTGTTGGAAGAGGAGATAAAGCCGGAGATGCGCCCATTAGATTGAGCGAGGGGAATTTACTGACCGCTTCCAGGTGGGCAGTTCCCGGAAGGTGGGGGCAGTGAAGCCTAGATCTTAGGCCAGAGACTGATGGTCACTGAAACCCAGTTCCCTCCCCAGCCCCCGCACTGAGCCAGTGGCCTGGTTGGGGGGGGAGGGGTCCTGTCACCTCCAGGGCACAGCCCTCACTCCATCCCCCATAGATTCTCCCCACCCTAGCCTGCCAAGCTAGAGCGCCTGCAGGGACTCCAAGGCCTTGATGGCACAGAGCACAGGGAAGGAAATCGGCGCTGGATGATGATGGGTGACCAGGGGATTCTATGAGGTCAACCTGCTCAGGGCGGAAGGGAAATCAGACCCATGAGGCCAGCAGGCGTGGACGTGGGCTTGGCTGTGCAGTGTGCGGGGGCGGCACAGCAGAACAGCAGTGACAGTGGGGACAGAGGACAGCAGACAGGGCGGACAGCTGGAATTTAGGTCAGCTTGGGGTCTGTGAACCTCAAGAGCACAGTTCTGCAGGACGGCGCTGAGAGCCAGAGCCCCTGCACAGCCAGGAAGGGCCAGAGCTGAAAGAGCAGCACCCAAACGCCCACATCCCCAAGGCCTCACTGCACATCTGCCACGCAGGCCGCTGCCAGGGCTCTGAGTGCACTCTCCCAGGCGCAGCTGGTCGGCCTCGTGCTGCAGCTAGACGACGGCTGAGCAGTTCCCTCCCCAGACTCCTCTCTGTGCTGCATGACTTCCACCTGAGCCAAAGTCAGACCTGCCGGTCGCTCCATGTGCAGCCTTGAGCAAGCCCCTGGCCCTCCCTGCAGGTGACCCCTCATCTGCAAAGTGTGGGGACAGGTTCAGTGATCATCTCTCTGTCACACAACCCGGAAGCAGCCACATCGGGAAGCTTGAAGGTCTCGGGGCTCCTCGAAGGGCCTGTTCTCCAACTCCTGCCTTTCCCTGCTTAGCTTGTGAGAGCTGGGGGAGGCCAAGCTGACCTGGGGTGAGGGTGGGGGAGCCCTCCAGGCAAAGGAGATTTGTGGGGAGCAGCCAGTCAGCATTCACACCTCGGGTCAGCAAGCCTCATCCTTTTCTTTTCTCTCTCGCTCTTTGTTTTAACCATCTGCATTACAACAAAACACCTCCTTTCCGCTCCGCTTCTTCTTCTCTTTATGACAGGACAGCCCCACACCCACTGCCCCCTGTAGCTCCAGGGAAGGAGACGACAGGAGGAGGCCGGGACACCTTCCCAAGCGGCACAGCTCTGTCTTGGCATGGTTCCACCTTATCTGAGAATCCCTCCTTGTCTCATCTACCCAAATCCCCTTTCTCTAACCTAAGTACATCTGTCCTCTGATGTCCTGCCTCTGAAGCAGGAAGGCGGTCTGGGGGTGCACAGAGCAGGAGAGGGCCAGCCTGGAAGAGACCCTCTCGTGGTGGTCAGCACGAGGTGGGGGCCAGCGCAGGGCTGTACACAGCTTGGCCAATTGGGAGTCGGGGCTGGCTGGGCCCTTCCTGACCGGGCAGGCTCACAGGCTTCTGAAAGCCATAGTCTCACGTCCGGTTCCCCATGGATGTGGCCGTGGGATGACACACAGGAGGGACCCACTGAGGCATCAGAGGGACCCTTGCCAGGAAGAGAAGCCGTCTTGTGCCCCTAGATCCCAAGGACTTGGAGAAAGGCGAGACAATGGCCAGTTTTATTATCCAAAACCTAAAGGACACGTTCCTGTAGAATGGCAGGACCTGCTAGCTGCCAAAGTAGGCAGAAGTGACTCCTGAGGGGGCTTCCTGCTGGGTCTGTGGCCCCAGGTCCCTGGGCCCAGCGGCGATCCCAGTGCTGAGCCTGGCAGCACAGGCCTGGAGGTCCTGGGAGGAGGTGGGGGGCCCAGGTGCCTCACCCGGGATGCAGGACCCTGGCTCGGGTGTGCAGATGGGGAGGGGAGTCCTCGTGGGTCATCGCGGCAGGCAGCTGGCCACTGGGTCTGGCCGCAGCCCGGGCACAAAGTTCATGGGGCAGAGCAGCAGCGGGCACATCTTCTCGTGCTCCTTCAGGGCCAGGCTCAGCTGCTGCAGCTCCTCATTCAGCTTGGCGATCTCCCTGCGAAGCATGGCGTTCTCCTGCTCCAGGCACTCGTACTCCTAGTTGGGAAAGAGAACAGGGTTTCTGGAACTGCACAGTCCCACCTGCCCAGGACCGTGTCACCAGGGCAGGGCTGTGTTCTTGAATCAACTCTAAGGAAGCATAACCTACGTAAAATGCATCTATGGTCAGTGTGCAATTCAGGGGGTGTTGACAGAGGTGTATACCTGTGCTGATAAACATGCAGATTGCCATCACCCCAAAAAGTGCCCTTTGTACCAGTCCCTCCCACTTCATAACTGCTGAGCTGCTCTTCTGGACACTTCTGCTAGGTTCATGACTACTCCTTACCACTCAGAACCTGTTTGTTGACTGCACAAATAAATGAACACAATAAAACCACACAATGTAGAAACCTTCCTAATGTAATTCTACTTCATGTATCCATCTGCCACCTTCAAAACCCAGTCTTTGTCCTTCTGAGCTGCTCTATCTGAAAGCCAGCATCCTCAAGGTATGGTCAAATACACATGAATGTTTAAATAAATGCAGTAAAAGACACATTAGCATGAATCCCCTTCAAAATACTCCCCCTTGCTTTGAACACACTCATCCCATCATTCTTGCCACTTTCTGAAGCAGCTCTGCAAGTCCTCTTTCGAGAGTGTCTTTAGTAGTGCTGTGGCAGCTGCCCTCATGTCCTGAATCCATTCAAAACATTCATCTTTCACTTTGACTGTGGGGAAGAGCCAGAAGTCGCACGGTGCCAGACCTGGTGAGTAAGGTGGATGAGGACACAGGGTGATGTTTTCACAGGTCTGCCTTTCTGTGGGATGGCACCTGGCACACACGTGTGCACACACACACACATATTCTCCACAATGCAACCAGAAATGCCCAGCACCTTCAAGCAAAATGTATCTGAATGCTTCTAACAAGCTAACACGTCACCTGGGTCCCAGAGAACAGAAAGCTCTCTTCCTTCAGCAGAAGAGTCCTCACTGGCCATCTGCGTTTGCCGACTGTGGCAAGATGCTCAGCGCCTCAGAGCTGTCTATGGAAGCCACAAGGAACCCTGCAGCCTCGCGCTGTCCTGAGACACCTCTGCTGTCCCCGAGCCCCGACTCAGAAAGACTCCAGAGCTGCTGTCACAGGCCACTAGGCAGGCCCCTCGTGTAGCTGCCCTCTCCAAGGGCACTTTCTCTGCTGGGATTTAAGTTTTACTCACAAATCTGCCCAGGGACTTTTACTGAGCGGAGAGGACAGGGACAGACGCAGTAAACACCTTCAGACGGGAGCAGCTGGGAGGGAGGAGGTCAAAGACCACCAAACAGGAGCGAAAGGCAAGAGTGAAACCCACTGCACAGGGGAGGAGATTCTACATTTAACATAAACACACACACACAAAAAGCACAGAACACTGAGCTTGTGATTTCCAGGGAGGCAGTCTGGCTCAAATCTTGCTGAGCTGTGAATCTTCTGCCATAGGGCAGGTTTTGGGGTCACTGTGCTGCCACCCCTGAGAATTTGCCAGGTCACAGTGTCAAAGTGTGACCTGAAAATTAGAGGTGGTGAAATCACTGCCAATCCGAGCCCCGTCTCGGAGATTAGGCCACCGTTCCTCAATGGTGGAATTTCGGCAGTCCTCAGCTGAGACCAGTGGGGGACATGTGGTGGTGTCACAGATGCAGTAGTGGTGATGCTGTCTCCACTGGGTGGCGGCCAGGGAGGCTGCTCAATGCCCTGCAGGACAGCGCCCAAGCGAGGACGTAGCCAGTCCTGAGTGCCCAGTGCTGAGGTTCTGACACCTTGTTCTGGCATTGAGAGGGACTGAGAGGCTGTCCAGTTTCCCTGGGGCAGGGGACAGGACTGAGGACTGGCAGAGACGCTGACGTGGGTACCAGGCACCAGACGTGACACTTCTTCAGGTGTGAAGGGAAGGAGAGGTAGGAAGAGGCCACCAGGAGGACACAGATCCCCACCTCACAAGTACTGAGGCTCTGAGAGGGACACTGACCTTTCCACGGTCAGCAGACTTGGGATCTGATCCCTGATGTCAAGGTCAACCGCGACACTCAGGCAGCATGGGTGATTCCGCTTTCCGCTGGCCAAGTCTGGGCCTGAATTTCCCCGGGGTGGTTACCAGAAGTATGAGGCCATGTGCTCCAGGACTTTACCACTCATCTATCCCCAAGCCTCAAGCTGATGCACTTCCCAGCAGAGAGGCTGTGTCACCAGCCAGGGCTTCCGTATTAATGTCATAATCACACTCAGCCTGGTGGTACTGACATGAAGGAGCACTGTCTTAGCACACACAACATCTGAAAAACAAAAGTGACAATGCTGACCACAGCCATATTGCCGAGCCATCTGTCAGTGTGGGACATGTGGGGCTCTTGAGGATGATGTCGCTGCCTCCCTTTTCTGACTCAAGCTCTTCCTCAGTCTGACATCTTCGGGTGCCTGACCCACTTCTGAGGCACCTTCTGGCTGCCTCAGAGACCCTAGTGCTAGGCCTTGCTTCCCCTCTGTGCATGAGCACGCAGCCCAGCGCCCGCAGTCCAGAGCTGAACAGGTGTCCAAGTTCCCACAGGAGGTGCAAGCACACTGAAGAGACAATGTGGAAACCTACAGCGAATGCCAAGGGTGGCAGACGCACGTTGGGAGCCGCTCTTTGTCCTCCAGTCCCATGCGAGCAGCCACACCGAGGGGAAAAGCGTGACTGGGGCTGAGCTTGGTTGCTCTCCCTCCTGGATGGAGTAGCTGAGAAACTCACAAGAGCCGCAGCTGCAGCTGGAGGAGGCTTTTCAGGGTGCTGGAGGTGACAGGGACTCAAGGACAAACGGGGCGTGTCGGTGAGGTGAGCGGGAGAGAGAAGAGGGCTCTCCGGCCTGCTCCACACTCCCCTCTGCGGTACTCGGGAAGAGCTTGAGCCGCGTGGATGTTTAGAAATTCTGCCCCGTGATGTAGGGCCTGGGATGGATGAAGAGAGCCCTCTTGCTGAGCTCCTCCTGGCTCCAGGGCCTAGCAGGTAGGGCTGGCTACCCCGTGGCTGTTTTCCTAACCCCTCGATGGCTGCCTGTGACACTCGGGTAAGAATAGGTTTCTGTACATGGAATTCTGCTCTCAATTTCCCCATCCTAGATGTGGCTGGGGATTCCAGGGGTCCCCAGGAGTTTTCTTTCTTTTTTTTTTTTTTTGAGAAAGGATTTCACCATGTAGTCCAGGCTGGCCTCAAACTCAAAGTGATCCTCCTGCCTCAGCCTTCCTAGTGCTGGGACGACAGGCGTGTGCCACCACAGCTGGCTAGGAGTTTTCTACTGTGACCCACAGCCATGTGTCAGATGCTGTGTACTCCTCCCCTAGACCACAGGAGAAGCATTCTTCACCCTATTTTGAACCACTCACCCCACCTCCAGTATGCAGATTTGCTCATCCTGTGTCCTACCAGCACACTGGTGGCCACGGGGAACACAGGTTCCCATCCCTATGACGCCCCCTGGAAACAGGTGGCTAGGGACAGGGAAGCATTGTTCATGTGGCGCCTGCTGGTCCAGACATGATGCTCCTCTCCTGCAGGGTTGGGAGGTATTTCCATCCACCCCCCCCCCAGCTGCTCTGCCACTCGTGTGCACTGAGAGCCTCGGGGTCTGAACACAGAGGGAGCCACTCTCCTGACTTGCTGAGAACTGCCATAGGCACAGGGTCCTGACCATTCCTCTCGCCCCAAGAGAGAGAGAAGGGGGTGTCCTCCTTCCACAGAGGGCCCTGGCCTCAGAGCAGGGCTCCCGTTGCGGAAGGGGCAGCACCGAAACTGTCTGAGAACACACCCCGTGGCCAGGAAAACAGCCAAGGGCCTAGGAAGGGCCCTCCGCCCCGCCCCGGGTCTAAGAGGATGGGCCCGAGAAAATGCGGGCCTAAATTCCAGCACCCGGTTCCCTTGACCACTAGATCCAAACTGACGGAAATGGAGAGAGAACCAAAGCTTCATCAGGGTGTCCTTTCTGACACCACAGCAAAGTTTCATGACTATTTATGACACCTTCTGTGGTGGGCAGAAAGGTGGCCCCTCAACCATGCCTACCTGCTACTCCCTGGCAGCTGTGAATCTGCTGCCTTACACAACAAAGAGGACTTTGCAGATGGGACCACGGTAAGACGTGTAAAACAGGAGAATGTCATGCATCACCCAGGTGGAGTACAGTGTCGTCAGGAGGGTCCTTGCACTTGAATAAGGAGTCTGGAGAGTGGGCGGAGATGCAGTACACAGAGCTGGTGTCGGGAGCACACAGGAGAAAGACTCTGCTGGCTGCCACTGGTTTTGAAGCTGGAAGGGGACCATAAGCCAAGGAACACCAAAGCCCATAGAATGTGGAGCAAATGAGGAAGCAGATCCTCTCCAGAGCCTCCAGAAGGAACGCAGCTCTGCTGACACCCAGATGTTAGCCCAGCAGGAATGTCTCAGACGTCTGACCACCAAAACCAAGATAGTAAATCTGTTGATTCGTGGACATCTGTCACAGCAGCAGCAGGAAACTCATGCACTTTCCTCGAGAAGTCCTATGCTTCCCAAGGACAGCACTAGGATCTTCCTCTTCTCTTCATAACCCAGTAGTGACTCCTTGCCCACAAGAGTGCCTAATACATGCAGAATGGGTCTACGTGACCTTGCTCCATGCCCAATCTTGTCCGAGACACTTGGTCACCTTGCAGACAGCGTCACTCGGGACAGCTGATGAGGCACGAGATGCTTCCCAGGAGCCTGGCCCTGGCTGTCCAGCTGGCACCATGGTCTGAATACAGCGGCCCTGGCTTAACTATGACTTGCAAGTTCTCTCTGGAGCTCTCTGGAGCTCTCTGGAAACACGAAGCTAGAACCACAACAGCCTTGGGAGCAGAAGGAAGAGAAGAAAGGAGGCCAAGGGCACTGGCGTCCTTCTGCACAAAGCTACAGAACTGCTAAAGACTCAGAGGGCCTTGGTCTGCAGGGAGGAAACTGCAGGCGTCATGTGCACCGAGCTGGGTCTGTATCAGCAGGCTGGTCCTGTTTTTTTGGATTAAGAGCATTCTAAACATGTCCTGTGCTTACTGCCAGAGAGTTTTCAGAGGCGCCCTTCTCTCCATATGACAACTGAGGCTCTGTACTGTCACTATCCCGGACTGGCCTGAAAGCATGGCAGGAGAAAGCTAAACCAAAATCTTTAATTGTGCACACCAACCCCTCAAAGAGGAGACGAACTGTCGATAATTCCTGGGATAAATCCTGGAATGCTTTCAAGGCCAGCTCCTGATCAGGAGCGGTTCTCGTGTCCTGGTTGTGGGATTATATGGGATGATTCATAAAGGTCAAGGAAAACGGCATCTTGGAGGAGAAACTCCAGTGCTGTGGTTTGAATGTGTCCCCTGGAGGTGGACGTGTTGGAAACTCGTCCCCGGTCCATCCATCTTGGGAGATGGGCCCTTGAGGTGACTGGGCTGACTGGACTGACCCATGAAGGGCTTACCGGGCTGTCCTGGGAGCTGCTCTTCAGAACGGCAGGCTCTCTGGTCTGCTGGCTCCACTTGCCCACGGGGCGCCCTCTACCTAGGGTTTATGCTGCAATGCGGCACGCAGGCCCCCAGGATCTCCCGGCCCCTACAGCCATGAACCAGGTCAGTAACCACCGCTCTGTGGCAGTCAGCGACAGCACAGAAAACAAACTCGGACACCAGGTCCCTGCTGTGAGCGGCATGAAAGGTATGGGCGCCATTCCGACAAGAACGTGGAGGTGTTGGGAAACAGAGCATCTGTCACGAATGTGGCACAGTCCATGGGGAGACACCGAGGCCCACGGGGAAATGATGCAGTCCAGGACAGAGACCCTGCCTGCTGGGGGAATCAGGTTGGGAGCTGATGCCAGGAGAACAGATGAACAGATTTGGTCTTCCAGGGTGAGATAAAAAAGGGCAGAGTAAAACCCTGGTCACTGCCAAAACTGAGAATTAAAAAACCGTGAAGAGGGTCAGGAGAACTAGAAAATGTGGTCTTTAGAGCAAAAGACAGGACGGTTTAAAAAAGGGGTGGGCTGGGGGATGTTCCCCAGGATCAGGATGGTGAGAGGGCCTGGGAAGGGGATGCCAGGGCACTGGCGGCCTCCTGGAAGCAGTTTCTGCAGGTGTAAGTATACGTGTGTGCTGGATGTGCACACACACACCTGTGCGCACAGTGTGTCGGGCGGAGGTGGGGGACGAGAAGGAAGGCACAGAGGACTGGGGAATGGCTCGGAACTGAGGGCTCAGAGCTCACAGGTCCCAGCTTCTACTCTTTAAGGAGCAAGGAGGGGGGACAAGGAAGGAACGTCATCAGGAGCGGGCAGCGGCTCGTGCTCTGCTCTGCTTTGTAACGAGAGACTGGGCTGGGGGACGTGAAGAAGTCCGTGAGTAATGCATTGGCCTGCCAGGCAGAAAGGACCCAGAGGACCCCGCGTGTGCACAACTGCTGCCACAGACCCCAGCAACGTGGTTGCCCTGGGGCTCCTCCCGTGGTGCTGCCTCACCTCGTGGAGTTGGTCAGCCTTCTGGGTCTGCTTCTTCCGACTCCTCTGGGCAGCAACTCGATTCTTCTCTCTCCTCCGGACCTTCCTGTCATCATCGTTGTTGGGGCTCTGGGGGGGACATTGGGTGACGGTGATGCAGAGGTCCCTCGCCTTACCCTCTCCTGCAACAAGGCACTGAGCTTGTCCTGTGCAGCTGGCACTCATTAGGGCGCTCTCGGGCTGCTAACCCTGGACCACACAGAGACAGCTCAGTAGTAGGGTGCTGTGCCTCGGCACCAGGGCCTGGGCCGCCCACACATACCCTGTACCACAAGTTTTAAAAGCATAAGCTTAAAAGTATAAGGTGGTCCACGCCCGATACCCTGGCACCCAGGAGACTGGGGCGGGAGGATCGCCCCAAGTTCGAAGCCAACCTGGGCTACACAGTGAGACCCTGTCTCAAAAGACAAACAAAAAACAAAAAGATGAGGAATAAGAAACTCAAGCTAGGACCTTGTTTCAGGTATGGCGCTCCCCAGGGGTAGCGGGAAGTGGAACTCAGGTCTGTTGCCTCCAAACCAACGTTCACAAACCTCCACCCGGCAGGGCGTGTGCCAGGAAGAGCTGTGGTGTTGTCTCCGCTGCAGGCCGGGACAGTGGGGGCGTGAGGGGCAGGCTTGCTCCTTAGGGCCTGCTGTGCAGCCGGCCCTTCAGGCACCACTCACAAACAGGCACTTCTGGGTCTGTGTGCCAACCTTGATCACACACTCATCACTACTGGCAACCACACGGACGACCCAACACACAGCGATCTGGAGCAGCTCGGAGCAGCGTGCTCCTCTGAGCACTGCCCACTGCATTTCCTTTCACAGGCCAGAGTAAGTCCAAATGCAAATGTATGATGTGACCTGAAACTCAGCTCTGTGATCGGCACTCCAGGAAGCCAAGGCAGGAGGGTCACAAGTTTGAGGACAGCCTGGGCCCCTTAGTGATTTAGGAAGGCCCTGTCTCCAAAAAAAAAACCCAGAAGCATTGGGGATGCAGCTCCATGAGAAGGCCCTGGGTTCAATCCCCACTAGCGCAATGAAAAAGAAAGGAAAAAGAAAACCCAGCTATAAGTGAAAGTGAGCCAAATACATCAAGTCATTCATTTTACAGGTGTAAAAACGAAAACAGGCAAGCAGGAAAATGTACCCACCATGGTAAAAACACTTCACCCGTTATAGAAAGCACAGAAAAGGGGGCAGTATTTGACTTCCAGAACTCCAGGAAGAGATCTCAAGGGAGAAAAAAAATACTACTTTTAAGGGCTTAAAAGAACAAGCTGAAAAAGACGAAGAAGATGGAAAAGGAGGAGGAAGAGGAGCAGCTAGTGCGACACAAACACAAGGCAGACGCTTGAATATTCATGAAAAGCAAATATTGATAATACAAACTCATACTTTCAAATATCATCTTATTTGGTCTTGTATTCCACATAAGGAAGACACACATCACCTCTCCAAGTTAAGCAGGTAAGTTTTCAGCCCATAAAAGAAACAGCACAGAGGGCAGCAGCCTGGAACAGCGGGATTAAGGGAACAGAGACAGGGAGGGCTGTGGAGACAAAGTCTAGGTCTAGAGACAAAGCAGTCTTGATAAACACAACCAGAGTGGCAACTGGAAGCTGGTGCACAGGTCCTAGCCATTGTCTCTTACGATCAACATGGCCCAGGGAAACTGGCTTAACTTCTCCAGCCTCTCAATTTCCTCATTTATCATATGTATGATTCATCCATTCTCTCCATAGGTATTAACTGAGCACCTACCACGTGCCTCGCTCTCTCCTAGGCACGGAGGACACCAGCCAAGATCAAACGGCCAGTGACTTGGCCAGTGACTTCCGGTAGCATAAGGACAGCGCACCCTACGGGCAGTTACTTCTCTTTGTTGAGGCTGCTGCAATCTCTGATTGGATCCCCATAGTTCGCGTCACTAAATCAGCCTCTTTATAGTTCATAATCAAAAAAATCACGGCGCAAAAAAGATCCGCACGCGTCCTGCCCTCAGGGCTGATGCTCTAAACTGAACTTAGCGCCTACCAGGTCGGTCATACTTGCCAAGCCAAAAGAAACATTTACACAAGAAAGGCAGAGGAGAGCAAAGTCCTGAGATATGTGCATCCTATTCGCCTTATCTCAGTCCTCATAAAAATCCTGAGACATTGATGTTATAGTCATTTTACAGATGGGGAAACTGAGGCTCAAACAAGCCTCCAATTCAGATCTGTGTGACACTTCACGGTCACTGGATAACACCAGGTGCCAGGCATCGAAGAGGGGGATAAGAATCAAAGACCCAGTCTGGCCCTGAAGTGTCCCAACGGCCGTCTCTGCGGGCGGCTCGGCCTCACTTTCCCGCGTGCGCGGCGGTGGACGCAGCTGGGGCCGCGAGCAGCCGCGAGGGGGGAGGGCCGCGCACAGGCCCACGTGCGGCCCCACACCCACCTGCCCCGCCCCGCCCGGCGGACGCGGCGCAGAGCCGCA